CTCCCTCCCTCCCTCTCTCTGCTCGTTAATCTCTACCGTGAGGCAACTCATCGTTTCTCGGTTTTCCCGCACGCGCCCCGCGTCGGCTGGCGACCCTCTCGCTGCCACTGCTGCCACGCTATACCAAGCCATACTGGGACTGGGAGACCCCGGACTCCGGAATGTGGGGCCGTGGGGCCCATGATCCTGATCCTCACCAATCCCCGGCTACGCACGCCGGGCTCAGCTCAGGGCTCTGGGGTTTGGGGTTGGGCCCGGCCCGGCCCGGCCCCCGGCACCGGCAGTCAGTCCAGTCGTAGTGCGGCACTCGAAGTGGAAAGATACCCAGCTGCTCTGAGGACGAAGCCTCTCCTGTTTGTCAGAGCAACCGGACCCAGCCACCTAAGGTAGTTAAAACATCTCGGGCAAAATCGTCAGTGTTTGTACTAGGTTGCCGATTTTCGCTACACACCTTCCTAGTTAGACTGTATCGCGTTTACGCGTGCGGGCGGGAGGGTTGCCTAATCGCACGGGGTCGTAAGGAGCCGTGGAAAGCGAGGATAGGGAAACCCGCTCGCGTTCGTGTGTGCGGTACAGTACAACTACGAAAGTGCGCGGCGCGAATCAGCCACCTCGCGTACAAGCCCGTTACAGTGCTGTTTATTAACTTGTCCCTTTGTCTGTGTGTGTGCGTCCCACAGATCATGGAGCAACTGCCGGACGACGTGCTGGCCATGGCCATGTCGCACCTGTCCGTGAAGGACCTCTTGGCGTGCCGCCTCGTGTGCAAGCGGCTGGCGGGCCTGGCCCAGCACCCCGACGTGTGGCGGCATCGATCCATCACCGTCCACGTCGACGCCGGTCCCATGTCGTGCCAGGAGCTGCGCCTGGCGCCGTGCGCGCGCGAGATCTGGACCTCTGTCCCGGAGGCACCGGCGGCGTGTCGCCACGGCGACCTGCGGACGACGTCTTGCGCCGCCAGTGAGTTGGCGATCGTCGTGCTGGACGTCGGGCTCGAGCACGTCGCGAAAGCCGTCCGGATCGTCAAACAGCAGGTGGCGCTCGGGCGGCTGCGGGGCGTGAGCCTACGCCTGAGCGACAGCAGCGTGGTGCTACATTCCTTCATACTGCCTGAAGACGCCATCGACTTGCTGTTTTGGACGCTGGCCTCAACCCCCGGCCTGGAGATGGCCAGTCTCGGCGGGGACCTGGGCAAAAGGACGCGGGTCCCGCCCGGGACCGGTCAGCGCGGCACCATCACGCCGTCCTTGAAGACTTTCAGCTGCGACGTGGTCCCCCGGCCGGAGCACTTCTGCGACTACATGCTGGCCGGGCACGCCGCGACCTTGGAGGTGGTCCACTTCATCCGTTCCGTGGTGTTCTCCGGGGCCCAAATCGCCGCGCCCCTGACCTCGCCGTCGACGGCGCGCCTGCTCGCCGGCATGCCCAAGCTCCGCGTGCTGAGCTGCCCGCTGATGCCGGGTCTGGGCGAGCTGGCGGCGTGCGCGTCGCTCAGGGAGCTGGACCTCACCGCGCGGCGCAGCACACAGGCCGACGGCCAGGGTGCCTTGGAGCTCCTCCGTCACGCTCTCCAGATCCGCTCCCTTCGCCTCCACTTCCCTTTACCACATGACGACGACGATGGGGTTGACGGCAGTGAATTCGGCGCAGAGCTGATAAGTGAACTCACGTCGTCCGGACGCTCCCAAGTGGAGACGCTGTCCATCGACGTCATGGACTCTCAAACCCTCCTCGTGCCTCACCTGGCGGTCCGGCTGCCCTCGCTGCCCGCCCTGCGACACCTCGTGCTCAGAGTGGTGGACCCAGCCCCGCTGGTGGACGCCATCAGCCCCCTGACCGCCCCGGCCCTGCGGAGGGTCCAGATACTTGATGATTATTCTGCGTCTCGCATGTGCTCTCACGAGTTTCTACACAGTAGGGCGCTCGATGCGCTTCTGTCGAGGAACCCCTTGCTTCACGTCGAGGTAGAGTACACCTCCTTTGGCGAATACGAAAACACGGAACTGAATGAAGATTATGATGACCAGTGCAAAGCGTGTCAACTGAACTGCCACAAAGAACTTGAGGAAGATAATGGCGGATTCGTCGGCGTTTTCGCGCACCCTACAGGCAAGTGTCCTTCCCCAGAAGACCACGCACGCTCTGATTGCCAATGGATTCAGATCAACGATGTTCAACCCAAGTATTGATTTATCATTTCTGTACAATGAAACATTTCGTGCAAATTTGACATAATTGATTTTGCTCAGCATATCAATCAATGAAGAAACGCATATTAAATTGCTGTGTAATTTTTGATGATTTTTTTTTCTTTGTTTGGCCGACCAACTCCTTTGGATTTGATCACGTTTCAACAGTATGCCGCCAGCCACTAGGCAGCAATAGCTTATGCTCAGCCGGTTCACTGGCGAGTATTATAGGGTATTTCCGTTCTCGAAACACATCGGCGGTAAATCCTTCGGCAATCGCACCTTGGGCCGTCTACATTGGGGGGGGGGGTATTCTTAAGGAGCCTGTTTCTAACTATATGGCACAACGTTGCCATCATCGACTTTGGTCAATAATTATCTCGAAGATAAATAAATCCACACATTGCACCGAACGATTTAACGCACACAGTGAGGGATAGGGGAGCAAACCGTTCATAACTGTACTCGGACCAAAGGACGACTTTTTTTTATTTTCGAAGTGTGCAATCTGCACAGCAGTGACAGGACAGCAGATACCCGGGGCTGCCGTCTGTCGCGGGCTGTCGGCCCGTTTCAAACAGTTTCAAAGCGAACCCTCTTTTATCCCCTTACTCTCTGACCCCCTCCTCTCACATGCACACACGCGCTGGTGCGCACACTCACATGGCCGTGCCTGCGTGCACACACAGACAGACAACATCCCCCTCACAGGGGACGGCGCAGACGAACTACTACTACGGGGCTCTCTTTGATACGATAAGTTTATTATGGGAACCTGCGTAAAGAGATTGCGGAACTGTCAGACGAGACGAAGACCCGGTAGCGGTGTGCTACCTGCCTGCATGCCGGCTCATGCGAGTTCTGAGCTACCCAACAAAATACAAGATTGAGTACGTCTCCCAAGCACAGTTTTGCACTCCTCGTTTCACCATGTTACACAGAACTTTCCACCTCTTTACAACGTCTCCGATACCATATCCTCTGTTGCACCATCCCGCGCAATGGTATTGAGCTCTTTCAAAGCGGTCTGTCCGCCAACGGCACCGGGAGATGGAAGAAGGGGGGGGGGGGGAATCGCGGAAGGAGGAAACCTCCACGGGACGTAGACGGATGGGGTTTGTTTGCACCTCGACGGGTTTTTCGCGCCTGATCACCCCCGCACGAGTTCCTCCGGTCGCACCGCCCCACCACGCCCCGGCGGCGGCCCCTTGCGACCCCACCCACACGCCCTTAGGCCCCGGGCCGCCCCCGCCGCCACCGCCGCCCCAGCGGATCCCGTCCCCGCGGCGGAGAGGCGTAATAGGCTAAACAGATGTTTCACGTGTTTCACTTTGCCCCCCCCCCCCAATAGCCGCTGGCGCCGGGCGTACGCGAGCCTCCGCCGCGAGTGCGCGAGCCGCAGACAGAGAGAGCGAGACTGATTTGCAAGAGCAAACACCTCGGCTGGTCTAAACTTTGCGCAAACAGTAACGTTGCATATTATGCCGCTGTGGGGCAAGGTGGTCGGTGTGTGACGTATGCTGGGTGAGGAGTGCCCCGTGCCGTGCCCCGTGTACCCGCGAGGACCCCGCAGCTTATCACTTTCAACCGTAATGTCATGGACAACACAACAAACTGTGTTCTTAACTCGTCCATTTCCCTTCATTTTTTTAAAACAAGAAAACTGTTCTTACCCTAAGGATATACTTT